TGATTATCGAGTTAACGACTTACTCCTTTGCATTTGGCTGTGTATTTGTCAATGTAATCCCATTGCAGGTAGGTGGACAAAGTAAGGGTGATTTTGAATTGGAGATTAGAGATCTTTATTCTGATGTCCCTTTATCCATTCTTTTTTTGTAACTTCATTGATTATAATTAGAAGTAACTACTGGTGATTATGAACCCCATTCCTTTTGTACATGATATTGATCATGGAGACTAGTGACATGGGATAGGTGTAGCTATGGGTGTTTTGGAAACCCATAGCTAACCGTATGCTGTAGTTACTTAGTTACATTAATATGAATTATGTTTTTCTGCATTAAGATTTTATGTATGAATGCCACATGATAGATGGTCAGGAAATAACCAAGGTAAATAATGTAATGTATTGCGGTGAGTAAGTATAAAATCTAAACAAATTGGAGGTTGTACGAGTTAAAATAAGGAAAAAAAATTCAGGGGTAGAATTTGGTCCTTACAGATAACATCCACGAATAGGTTAACTACAGTAAGTAGCATGGTAATAAGCCAAAATGATAAAAGAAACGTGAACATCAAGTCAAAAATATGAATGAACATTCTAAAATAATAGAAAGTAAAACACAACATTGAAATAAATACTAATGTCCATTATGTGTCACTTTTATATATGTATTCTAATTAGTTGCACCACAATGTCAAGGTCTTTATTGTAGAAGTGTCTGTTAGAAATTTATAATTTCTAATTTAGGTGGGCATCATATATTTATACAATTATATCGACTATTTATTTTCTGGGTTATAAAATAAGTGATCTTATTACTGACAACCCTTGTGACTTCTAAAATAAACTGAAAATGAATATGGACCTCATGAGTGGATACCCAAAGTAGTTAACCCATAGGGAATAATGGGAACCCTATTAAGTTAACACATCAGGAAGGTTATGGTCCCCAATACACCAAATCAAACATAGTTTTCATCTCTCCCCGTCAGAGAGAAAACGAAGGTCCCAAGAGGAATCAAGGATTTGGTTGAGGAAGATCATCATACCAAAACCTCTCTACGAAGGCATACACAAAGGAATAGATCTGAGAACATGGATTCAGGTATAACTTTGTATCATTGTTTTACATAATGTGTGAGAATCATAAGATTCAAGATTTTAGGATTGATATTTCACCAATTAATAGAGAATTCTAACATTGTCTATTAAGTTAAGCATCACATTGAAGCAAGGACATTACTTGATAAATAGTTGACTCTATGAAGGAGACATTACTTTATATGTTAATCACTATTGATTCTAAAACTAAATTTAAGATATATTATGTTAGAAGATGTGATATAAAAAATTTAAATGCTATTCAAGTATAGTATAAATATTTGTTAACTATTAATATTTTGTATGCAATTCAAGTTCGACCATTTATATGTTAATCACTATTAATATTTTTCACATTTTTTAAGGAAATTATTTTTTATTAACTAAATATTGACATTCAAGTATAGTAGTAGTAACAGAGTCAATATGCATACTATTTCCATGACCACTATTATATGTAGTAGTGGTCATGGATAGAGTCATTCTCTTACCCTAAAATGCAAAAAAAAAAATACAAAAGGTAAGAAAAAAAGGAACTCATTGCTGGAAAAAAAATACCAACATTACAAAATCAATATAGTAGTTAATACACGATTAAAGAATAGATGATTTATGAAGTACAGTGAAACCATGGAAATAAAAATCAATGACTATATAGACACTAAGAGAGACTAACCAATAATATGGAAACCCCCAAAGATGTATTAAAAATTCAATTTTGCTTATGTAAAAATTCAAACCTTCTTATATAACATAAAAAATTTCAACTTTCTTCTATAACATAAAAAATTACAACTTTCTTCTATAACATAAAAAATTTCAACTTTCTTCCATAAAGATTTAAACTTTATTCTATAAAGATTAAAACTTTCTTCTATAACATAAAAAAAGTCCAACTTTCTTCTATAAAAATTTAAACTTTAGATAAGGATTATCCATCCGCTCAATCAGTTTTTTAGTATGGACAATGGAAAGGATGAGAGAGATAAAATGTATTATGAAGCTATAAGAGACATTGGAAGTGTGATGAAGATGGAAAAAAAATGATGAATATGTAGAATAAAATACATAAAATAAGAACACACAACTTACAAAAATAAGGATACTTAGAGAATAACATTTGGAATGATGAATAATTTAATATCAAGACATTGAAATTTGAAGGAAGAAATATTATACCTTTAAATGAATAACCCGTGAACGAAGAACTCAACCATTTGTTGAGGAAAAAAATCATATCTGTCAAAAAACATAGAAGAAAAAAATGGTGAGTCTCATATTTTGAAAATTTTGAGAGATAGGTTTAATGGAAAACAACGCAGTGAAAAAAAATGAGATGATCAATCTTTAACATACAAAGTTAAAAGGAGATGAAAGAGATATTGAAGAGAGAATGGTTGAAGATGAAAGAGAGATTGAAGAGAGAGAAAAGTGAAAAGTGAAAAGTGAATGAAGTTTGAAATGAGTGTGGATCATAAAAAGAAGAGATGAATGAAGTTGTCATTATCAAATGACACATTTATCCCTCCAAACCTTAACAATTACTTACCTACACAAACTCAATAATGTAATATCATCATGTATAATAAATGAAGATAAAATTCGTTACTATTTTATTGCAAGAAATATTATGCAGTTACTAAAATAACTTCCACTAAATTAAAGTACTAGTTATTGGGTATCTCTAGTTAAGTAAATTGCTTTTAAGGAAATGATTGCTTTATTTTTTAAATAAAAATAGTTTTAGATTGACAAATTTACCCTTAAAAAGTGTTAGGTGTCAATCATAGAAGATATCCATTTTCGTAATAACATCAGTCAAGGACTTTATGTAATGACAGATTTGATCTTAAAAAATCCAAGTGTCAAAATTTTGATAGTCTATTTTGGTAAAATCCACAACTCTTCTATATACTATATAAGAAAATTAAGTTCTTGCCACATTAGATTAGCTATGACATGTGTCATCACTACAATCACTCTTTTCCATCCAAAATTCTTTCTTCATTTCTCCTCCAACATTGTCAATCTATACATGTTCATTTCATTTAAGTTTCATTCTCATATGTGATATTTGATTATATGTCATTAAAGCTACTGAAGTTACTGAAATTCATTAAGTTTCATCTTTCTTCATCCTCATATGTGATATTTGCGCCTAAAATGAAATGCAATACGCTTAGCATAGGCCAACTAATAGAAAAAGGCTTCACTGTTGTAATGTGGAATGGTCAATTTGAACTCTATAGTGTTGACAAGAGACTAATTCTCATAAGCAAATTGACAAAGAACAATACATTCCAAGTGAATATCAAAGCTACTGAAGTTCAATGTTTGTCTATTATGAAGACTAGTGATGAAAGCTGGATGTGGCATTCAAGGTATGGTCACTTGAAATTTAGAAGCTTACATCAACTAGGGTCAAAACACATGGTTACTGGAATTCCAATCATAAGTTTACCAGATAAGTCTTGTGAAGTCTGCTTAATTGGAAAGCAGTCTAGAAGTCCATTCAAACCATAAGTAAAGATGAGATTTAAGTCAATATTAGAGGTTGTGCATTCTGATGTATGTGGCCCATGTGAAATACCTTCACTAGCTAGAAATAGGTACTTCATAACCTTTGTGGATGTATTTAGTAGGATGATCTAGTTGGATGTGATAAAAGCAAAGAGTGATGCTTTTGACTCCTTTCTGGATTTCAAGGCTGCAACAAAAAATGAAAGTGGGGAACAACTGAAGGTTCACAGAACAGATGGGGGACAAGAATTAGTTGGGTTTGCTGACTCTTATTATTGTGGGGACTTGGTTGAAAGGAAAAGAACATATGGATACTTGTTCCTATTAAAACATGTTCTCATCTTTTGGTGCTAAAAAATATAGCCACTAGTTGCACTTTCTAGTTGTGAAGCAAAATACATTTCAAAAAGCTTTGCAGGATGCCAAGCAATCTGGTTAGAGGAGTTTCTGAATGAAATGAAGATCAGTGTGAAAACACCATTTCAATTGAAGAAAGACAACATTTCATCCATAAGTCTATCCAAAAATCCAATAAGCCATAGTTGAAGCAAACACGTTGAAGTGAGATTTCTTTTTTTTAGACTTGGTGAATAAAGGAAAGCTTGAAGTCTTGTACTTCAAAACAGAATTGCATATAGCAGATGCTTTCACCAAAGCTTTGAAGGCTGAAAGGTTATAAGACCTTAGAAGAAAAATGGTTGTAACATCTGTCAATGCTTGACTTAAAAGAGGATGTTGAGTTTGATGTATAATCCTAGTTTTAAAGAGAATAGAGTGTAGATAGCATAAGTAGTTGTAACTAGCTATAATTATCAGTCAATTTGTTTCTGGTTGTTAGTAGTTAGCAAAGCCTTACTATAAAAGGCATGTATGCATACTTTGATGAATATAGAGAGGAATTCTGATTTTCCCTCATACATTGTTTTCTTTCTCTTTTCTGCAAGAATCCCAACACTAATACACATAATATTACTAATACACTCTTTATAGAACATGGTATAAGATAGTAAGTGTGATGAAATAGTTACACATTAATATACTCAGTATTTTTTTATTTTCGTTGATGACTTTTATCGCAAGCTTTGCGTATATTTTCTAAAATATAGTCAAAAGTCTTTACCAAGTTCAAGGTTTGGAAGGGAGTGGTAGAAAATCTTACCGATAGAAAAATCAAATACTTGATATCAGACTCTTACAGAGAGGGTCAAATGTATGTATCTGAATGTTGAACTTTCCAAATGTTTTTTATCATTGGCTCTTAGTATAGCATGTTATGTCTTCGATAGTGTGAACACTCAATTTTGTCCGGCCTATTCTATGGAATAAAAAAATCCAAAAAAAAAAAGGGACTTTGGAGTTTGAACCTTGAATATTGTTTCCATGTTTATAAAACATAAAGAACACAACAATAAAGCACCATATATTTGAGTCTTAGATACAAGGATATTAAGGTTCCCACAGATTTTTGATATTGCCCAAATCTCTATCCAGAAACTAATAGTCGTGAGTAGAGAACAAAACTAACTATATACAATCCAAGTATTAGAAGAAGAAATGAATGCCTAAGATCTTCAGTGAATGTTGAAAAAATGAGACAAACAATGGATGTTAATGCTATGGTTCCCCAACAGAGACAACATGTTGATTATACTGCCTCTCTAATCATGAGAGGGTTTCTGGATGAACAGTTTAACCAGCTCCAGCAACTCCAAGATGAAAGCAGCCCAGATTTTATGGTTGAAGTGTTAACTCTCTTCTTTGAAGATGCAGATATGCTCCTCAATGAAATGACAATAGCATCAAGTCATGAAAGCATTGCTTTTAAGACGTTGGATGCTCATGTCCACCATTTGAAAAGAGCAGCTCCTGCAGAGAAGAATCAAAGATCAAATATTATTTACACATTGGGAGAATTATGAAATGAGCAATTGGCCAAGGACTACACGTGAAGGTTGCACCTCAAAACACAATCAGCATCAATGATGTTAGTTATGAGCATGCTACAAATCAGAATAGTCAAAAGATATTAAGAAATCAATGAATGTTGAGCAGAGGACTAGTCATGGGAAATTTATCAAGGGACAGTTAGCAGGCAGCAATCAGAGACACTGGCTTTCAGTTACAATTAGAATCATTAAGCAGCAATGATGGATAATCTTGAATGAATCAGAAACAACAAGCATTAAGAAGAAGAATATACAGGCAGTCACATAAAAGAATAACCAAGGACACCAGTTACATATAAAGAAAAAACTACTTATGAATCAGAATAATCAACACCATACGGTTACATTCCAAAAGGCAATCAACACCATTAAATAAAGACAAAAGGAAAGGAGGTAGATTAGCCAGGGGGTTGCACAAATTTCAGGGATACTAACCAGCTCTACAATCAACAATGATCAGCATTTGCAGTTACAAAAGCAAACAAAGGCAGAACAATGAGGCAGTAATGTACAAATAAAGTGGGTAACAGTCAGAAATTAATGGCATAGTAATCAGCAGCCCTCTTTTCAGTTATACATTCAGCATGAATTACAATCATGGATAGCCTTAAATAAAGGAGAGTAACCAGCAGTAACTGGTAGAGTCAGCAGAAGAGTCATAATATTCTATAAAAGAGCATCAGAATCATATACCAGGGACAAGTTTTTTTTAGCAATCAGAAGGCATCCAATTTCATATACACGTATCCCTTAAGGTTACAATCGGCCCCTTATAGCAAATCACCCACACCAAAATACCATATACACTACACTAACCCACATCAAGCATCGTCAATTAGGATCAACGCAAAATCAAGAAAGGGTTCTAACGTACAAGGTAGAAAGTAAAGGGCATACTCAGGTAAGATATGCGACATATTCAGTGAACATCAATGAAAACGTATCCCAAAAGCAAAATAATCATGCATATCCTTTCATGTTAATTACCAGTAATCGATGTTGGGTATATACTCCAACGGGTTTCATAGGAAAATATATATTGTTATGCGATTTAAAATAAGAAATAACCCATAAATTGAGATGACTCAGATTGTATGTTTGTATTCTGATTTAGCATTCATAAAATAGTCATGAGCATTATTGGGGGAATCATAAATCCTTTAAGGGAAAAAGAAACGAAAAATGGAAGAAATGGATTCACCTGGTTTCAAGGATCCTCGCCATTGCCGCTGTTACCGTTGACGGAGAAGATAATCGGAGAAGGAGACCGGAGAACCAAATCGCCTTCGTCTTCCCGCCGCGACGAACCGCCTTCGTCTTCTCATCGCGACGAATCGTCCTCACTTTCTCACCGCGGTGAATCGCCTACGAGTTCACCAACCTCCACGCTTGACTACTGCCTCCGCCACTGTCGGAAAGAAGCCCGAGAGAACTCACGACTCACTCCCCCTTCGTCTTCGCACCCCCTTCGTCTTCGCACTTCCTTCGTCTTCGCACTTCCTTCGTCTTCTCACTTCCTTCGTCTTCTCACTTCCTTCGTCTTCTCACTTCCCTCGTCTTCTCCCTCTCTTTTTCCCCAAATCCTCCATCACAAAAAATAAGAGGAAACAGATTACCTTGCGATTTGCTGCCGAGAGGAGCTTCGAAAACGGACGTGGATCCGAAACAGACCCATCGGAGATGAAGACCGGAGTAATCCCCGCCGAGAGAACTCACGACTCACTCCCCTTTCGTCTTCGCACTTCGCCTTCGTTTCTCACCTCCGCGGTTTTCTCTCTTCTTCTCACCCTATTCTAATCTCACTCAAATCCCTAAAAATAAAAAATGGAAACCCCAAATCTGACCCCTCTCCTTTCAAGCCTGTTTTGTTTGATTGGGCCCCTACCAAACCCATGTTTTTTTGTTTTGTTTTTTTGTTTTTTTTCAGTTTGTTTATTATATTTTGTTAATTATGTTTCATCCCTTATTTGTAGTCTTTATTTATGTATGATATTTAGTTAATTATTTATTCAAAAGTTTTAAATGGAGTTTTATAGTAAGGTTATGACCCGTGTTGTCTCTGAATTCTCTAAAAATGAGAATGAGGTCTACGACCAGTGTCATCTCTAAACTATTAATTCCATATCAAATATTTCAAAAATAATCATTATTTGTTCAAGTAATTTTAGATGGAGTTTTATAGTAAGGTTATGACCCGTGTTGTCTCTGAATTCTCTAAAAATGAGAATGAGGTCTACGACCAGTGTCGTCTCTAAACTATTAATTCCATATCAAATATTTCAAAAATAATCATTGTTTAATCAAAAGTTTTAAAAGGAGTTTTATAGTAAGGTTATGACCCGTGTTGTCTCTGAATTCTCTAAAAATGAGAATGAGGTCTACGACCAGTGTCGTCTCTAAACTATTAATTCCATATCAAATATTTCAAAAATAATCATTATTTGTTCAAGTAATTTTAAATGGAGTTTTATAGTAAGGTTATGACCCGTGTTGTCTCTGAATTCTCTAAAAATGAGAATGAGGTCTACGACTAGTGTCGTCTCTAAACTATTAATTCCATATCCAATATTTTAAATAAATTTAATCAAATGGTTTAAAATGGTATTTTTTATAGTAAGTTTATGGCCCGTGTTGTCTCTAAATTCCCTGAAAATGGGAAGGAGGTCTACGACCAGTGCCGTCTCTAAACTATTAAATTCCACATCAAAAATGTTTTAGTAAAAACTTATTCTATTACTCAACCAAATCAATACCTTCAAATCAACGAAATCAACCAATTAATTTTCGAACCAGAACTACGTAGCCTTGATTTCCCTATTGCAGCTAGGGATACGTAGGATCAAGTTGAATTCTTGTCAGGCACAACAATAAAGAATAAAACATTTTGTTTTTATTTACTGAATTTTAATAAATAATTTTAAGGGTATAAAAGTCCATGTTATTAGCGAGGGTACCGTTTTAATACGGGCGAACGGGGTGCTAATACCTTCCCCGATCCGTAATCGACTCCCGAGCTCAGAATCTCTAGTTAAAGACCAAATTATCCTAATTGGGCATGTTTAGAGTTTTCTACGTTTTAACCGCAAAGAACGTAGTGGCGACTCCAAATCAATTGGAAGAGGTAGAAATCGAGTTCGCCTCTCCCAAAGTCGCAGGGCCGGTCTTCCAACTGAAAATCGGGTCGCGACAGCTGGCGACTCCGCTGGGGACTCACCCATAAGAGAGTCAGGCTTAGAGCCGTTAAATACATGGACGTAATACCCTTTTGTTTTCCTACTTTTTTTTTATGTGTTGTTTAGATTAAAAAACAATTATTATATGTGATATTCCTTTGTTCCCTTATCTGTGTTAATTGTTGATTTGCAGTTTTTAAGGGGGGTTTATTTTACTTGCAGTATAAGGTTTGTATGCTTCCTCACACACTTCCACATCACACTCGAGTGACACACACTTATGCCCTATACCCGGGTATTAGAGATTAGGATTTTTTGAAAAAAAAGGGCATATGCCTTGTGGGTGCTGGTCTCGTGCCAAATCTTACATTGGCAGAATGTACCACCCAGATTGTTCCCGGTATTATGAGTTAGCGGCTTAGGGAGCTCGTCCCCTTTCGTTTCTAACTTGTAATATTCGGTTTTCCTTTCTTTCGAGATTGGAGGCAATCCGGCGACATAAAAATTCGTGACCTTTTTATCGAGTCCACTTTAATTAACATCTAGTACCTTGCCATAGGGTCTGACCATAGATGTTCCCAGAACCTTTTAGGGCATACCTGATATAAGACACAGGAAGCAGACAATTTATGTTCATTTGTCATCATGCATCATGAAAAAGGGACTTACCCTCCCTAAGTTAGATGAGTTCGTTATCTACGCCTAGGTGATATGAGGATGTCACATGGCGGTTTATATTTATTTCATACCCAACAATGGGATCCACGCCCTAGGGTCAGTTAACATGTCATGATTATTACCTTTATTAAACAATTTCATACCACAATCTAAGGCAGCAGTGCCTGATCCTAGATTATCATCATACCCTTTAATGGGCTCGACGCCCTAGGGGTAAAATGTTTATTCACGCATAAAATTTTTATTCCTCATACTTAGGGTCCACCACCCTAAGAGATCATGCATCATACATATCATATGTTTATTGCCCACTTTATTATTTAACACTTTTCCTTTATGGCTGCATTTTTATAACCAGGTTTTTGATCAGAGGAAGGACTTTGATATAGTAAGACATGGCGACTAGTTCAGAAGTTGTGGGTTTTAACGGTGCTCCTTCATTCAAAAAAGGAGTCAGAGCCTGAGGTACAAGTTATAGATGTGCAATATTTGATCGACCTAGTTCCCAAGATCCCCAAAGACGTACAAGAGCAGTTCGAAAAAGAATATGGTAGACTGATAGACCTTATCCTCATCACAGTCAACACTGAGGCGCTAAAGGCAATGAGTGCAATGATCCAGTACTGGAACCCCACTCTGAGGGTTTTCGTGTTTCCCAATCTAGATGCGTCCCCAACTATTGAAGAGTATGAAGTCCTTCTCGATATTGGAAAGTCAGGCAGACTCAAGGTGTACCAATTCCCTGACCACCAGAACGTCACTGAAAGTCTCATAGAGGAACTCATCGGGACTAGACCGGAGCCGTTTGATATAATAAAGCAAGGAGAAATTTATGGGTTGAAGACTGCCTTCTTAAAAAAACACCTTATCAAAACAATAGAACAAGGGGATTGGGTGTTGTTTAAACCAACCTTTGCATTGGCGATATATGGTGTGGTCTTGTTTCCTTTCGTCTATGACATGGTGGATCAAGCTGCAATTGATGTCTTCACCAAGTTCAAGAAATTCCTAGTTAACCCTGTTCCAGCTGTCCTGGCGGAAACGTTGCTATCTTTTCAGATGTGTCATGAAAGAGGCGTACACAAGGTTCGATGTTGCATCCAACTGTTATATGTGTGGATGATGACCAGATTCAAGCATCACCAATACCCCGACTGGAGTCGATACCCCTTGCGCAGATTCAGGAAAATTGCAATCAATCCCATGCAGTTGTCGGATTGGAAGAAGATCTTCGTCGAGATCACTCCTAGAAACTTTGGGACAAAATGTGGCTTATATGATAGGCATCCAGAAATCATGTTCTCTTGTGGTGACTTTACAAACATGATGTTGATGGGTCCTCGAGGATGTATCACCTTTAGCCCAGCTTTGATACTTGGTCAGCTAAAATGGGGGATGATGCCCGTTCCTTCGGAACTACTGCAAGGGTCTATGGTCTGGTATAAAGATGGTGAAACCAGTAAGGAAACCCTCATCTCGATAAGAAACGCTCTGAAAAGGATACGCCTATATGAGAAGAAAGAATTGGGGGAACACCAATCTTACTATACCCCTGAGTACAAAGAATGGAGAAAGGATAGAATGAAGTCAACTACAATACCACCATCTACCTTACCTCGGGAACCACCAAAACAATCAGAAAAGGAGTTGTTACAAGCCAACCAGATCCGTCTCTTGGAAGCCAAGTTAGAGGAGGCCAGGAATGAGATTGAGAAATATGGGTTCTCCGTCGAGAAACTTGACAAGATCATAGAAACTCAGAAAAAAGAACATACCAGCCTCAAGAGAGATTATGCTAGCATGTGCTCGACGTCGGAAAAATACCATCTTATCCGAACAGGGAAGGAGAAAGATAAAAAAATAGCTGAGCTGATCAAGATGAATGAAGAGAAAGATGAGCAAATATCCAACATGAGTCATCAGTTGAAGGCCCGAGGTAGAGCATTGCATTCGGCACAGAAGGATATCCATGTGTTAGAAGCAAAGGCAGAAAGCCTCCAAGCCCTTGCTCAGGATACCAAGAATGAGGAGAGCCATGCATGGGCCACTATGAAAGAATACCAAACAGCTTTAGAGAAAACACTCGAGAGGGAAGATCAATTGAAAACCATAATGAAAGAAATGGAGAAGGCACACCATCAAGCCTTGGCTGAGGCTAATAACGACAAGGTCTATCTCTCAGAACAACTAAGCCTCCTCGAAGCTACCCATGACGAGTTGGTAACCAGGCAGCAGGAATGGGTGCACAATTGGGACCATATGCTCCAGGAGTGCAAATGGGACAAGGATAGGTGGGAAGAAAGGTGCAGAAAAATAATTAATGGCCTCGGGAATTTTGCGGATGACTGGTTGAGGAATTTCGAAGATGCTCGGGGAGAATTACAGATGTATCCGGAAACAGAGCTACGCACA